CTTCCGATCTATTATACATTACTTTATTTCTTCATTTAAATGGCTGAGAATGACATGGGAAAACTTCATTCTTTCCAATATTCAACCGCTCGCTTTTCAATATCTTTTAAAAGCCATTTCTTTTGTTATTTTGTTGAATAAGTTCTTATATTAATATACTAGTCAAATAGAGTTTTAGAAAGATTAATCAGAGCTCAGCTTTGAGAAGTTTCGTAATGAATCTCGGTTGAGAAATTGTTTTGATGTTCCACTTTACATTCGCAAATGAACGAAACTTAGTAGCCGCGTATTTAACAACCCCCCCCCCCCCTTTTTTTTATTATAACCTTACAAATTATTTACCCCATTTACACATATATTAGAGATAAGTCTGTATGCGAGGCAGGCAATGCAAGCTAATTCGCAAGGGTGAGAAGCCTCGCTAACAAGGTCGGCAATAACACGCGAACGAATTATTTTTGCTTCCCTCTACAGTCCCCCATATTTTCGAAAGGGGAAACTCAGCTGTTGTCCAGCTTTGGAACGGACGGACGACGGAGATTTGGCACGGTCTTAATTGAGCTTGCGAGCGAGGCGAGCGGCTGGGTTCGCGGATACGCCCAGCCTGGAGCCTGAGTTCAAAGGCGTGGCAACAATTATAGGATTTTTGACGATGTGCAGGTATCACCGAGGAGGTTTGGCGCTTCGTCGTTATGGGCTGCTCGGCGAGCAGTTGTCCCGAGCTCCAGCGAAAGAAGAGTCCTGGCCTGCGATTGCTGACGAGCAAGTTGCACTTTAAGTCCCAACAGCTGGAGAAGCTCAGTGACTATTTCAGCCAACTCGCCAAGTCGGATAACCCAGGTAAAGTATGCTCGATGCGCGGTGCTTCGTTCCTTCTCGCTACTCGCTAATAGCGCGTTCGCTCGTAGAATGCTCGCGCGGGACGTCATTTTGTGGGTGGGCCGTCTATTTATAAGCGACTTCCGCGGGAGCTTTATTGTCTGCAGCTCGAGCTTCGCTCGTGAAATACGGAATGGTCCGAGACGATGGAAATTTTTGTCAATAACAATGAAGGTGCTCCGAGCTTTTATTTTGTCTTTCTCCGAGCCTGGGAAATCGTGTTTTTAAGGTAACGCTGACGATCGAATGCGAGATTCCTCCTGCAATGACGTGGCAAGAAGTTTCGAAAGAGAAAGTAAATTATAAAAGAACACACAAAATCAAACAACAACGATAAAGAGAATAAGAGGAACAATGGAAAATGTGAAATGGTGGTATTGAGTACCCACGGCACGTCGTACTTTTTTTTTACATCTTTTCTTTTTTTTGACAAACTAATGCTGAAAGAACCGGTCGTGTCGTTTTTGTGACTATTTATTTAGCTTTTTTTTTCTGTTTTTTTTTTTTTTTTTTTATTTAAAATTTAACTCTCGTCGAAGCAACTTCAAAATGAATTAAAAACTACACTTTATGCGACTTGCATATGCGTCGACAGCCATTTTCACTTTATGCCAATTCACAATCTGTGGTCGAACGATCATCCATGTATTACCTGAAAATTTTTCATAATGAGAAGGACAATGATGCTCATGTAAATAAGAATAAAAAGGATGTTTAATAGCATTCGCAGATATTGCTTGCATCGAGGTTGGCGTGGAAAAATTGGTCCAGAAGTTGATAGCTGGAGTAGGAAATCTGGACCGTAGATTCTCTGCCCTTTTCCTCGTTTCGCTCAAAGAACGGCGAAGAATACAGGTAAGATTGAATGATGGGCAAGAGGAACGAAACTTCTAATGCTTAAGTACTAAGTTTACTTCCACAATACCATAACTCTCTCTATCTCTATCTCTATCTTCTTTTCATTTTTCTTTCTGACGCACAGTCCTTACTACATTCTTATATTGCCTTTCCCCTCTTTTTTTTTTCATTTTCAATATATTTGAACTATTATTGTAATTTTCTTCCCTTTTTCCTACACTGTCATAGTTTTTACGTTACTATATCTGTACATATATATATATATATATATATATATATATATACCCCCCCCCACCCACATATATTAGACAAATATTTTACAAATGATACATCTGTACATGAAATCATTACAATTGCAGAAAAAGTTGAAAGTATCTTTTTATGAATGAATATAGACGCGACCCACGTATTTCTTTATTTCGATATTATTTTTTTAAAGCCGCATCCGTAAAGCTATAGAGAGTTGAAATGTGAAATGGTCAAATCTACAACAAGCAGCGCAAAGTGAGGTTCGGGTCATTTTCGAAATGTGAGTTACAGTTTCACTCTTGCATACGAAAACAAATAAATACACTCGAGCTTCGTGGAGGAGTATATAGGACGCTATTTATTCTGTGTTTTATGTTATTTTTTACGAATTGTAGATTGTACATTCTTTATTTAATGAAAAGCATCATTAACTTTGCTGCAATCATGTGCACGAGGTAAAAACTCATGCTTAAATTTATTTATAATTACGTGCCTTTTTAAACTTCAACAAGTGTACATTATACAAATAATATTTCTTAGGCATTTTTTATAATTTCAAAAGATTTTTCTATCTCACAAGTGTTTTATACGGGATTTAAAGGCTTAAATAAATTTTGAATCTGAATAGTAACTTGCTTTCCATTGTACACTGTCGCTGTATTTGTTGCAATGTCGATAATATTCAAATAAATTGTTTCGTAAATGTTTCTATCAGACTCATTTGTATGATACTTTACTCAACTGGAAACGATAGTAGTTTATTATGTGTCGTGTTGCTTTTGTGATAACGAATTATTTAGAACTTTTTATAAAATTCAATTAATCTCACGCAATTTATATAAATTATAAATAACATAATCATTACCTTAGAGCAATAAAAAATTTATGATATTGAGTTTGATTTTGAAAAATACTTACTATCTAAGTTGTAAAACTTAATCTATCGTTGGTGGGTGAACTTGCAAATAAAAGTGTTTTTTTTATCTTTTATATTATCACAATTATTACTTAGGTATTTGATGATTAATGTGCTACATCAAGTTATCGAAAGACTAAATTTAATGACAATGCAAAATAAAAATACGGATTTTGATTTTTACCTGTATTATTTAAGTAATAAAGGCGGTAGTTCTATATTTCTTCAATTTATATATATTGTAGTACGAATGTCAATATAAACTAGTTTGTGCACACTTATTTTAATCCACATTTCCAATCTTCAATCTATCGTCCAATTTTCATTTAAAATCATGGATATCTAAGGAATTAGGATTGCACTCGCTTATCGGAGACGAATGATGGAGGCACACACGTCCATCATCAGCGCACGAGTTTTTATTTAAACTTCAGTAACGCGTTGCATTTTTATTTCGATAAGAGCAATAATCTTAATGTGGGAAGGATTTTTTTAGATTCCAGATAAATATAGCCATAACCTTACCTACATGAATATGCATGAGAAATAAAGATAATTCGTTTAAAATTAACATTGTAAACAACATTAAACATTTATTTTTAATCGGAAAAGAAATTTTGTACTAGTGAAATAATTAATATTCTAATATTGAGAATATTATATTTTCAACAAATTTTCATTTATTTTATATAATGATTATAGCGGCATAATTAAATTCGTCTATTTAATTATGTCTCAAAGATCGAAAAGATTCGTATCCTTTTAAGAAGATGTAAATTTTTGTATTAACGTTTATTAAGAGTACGAATCTGCGAATTGGAAGAAATTGCGAAAGACGATAAGGGATTTAAATATTTGAATGCAAACAAATTATACAGTCATATTTATTCGGTTGGTGTGGAATTTATCTGATTAATTTCAGATTTGCTAGTCAAGGGAAAATTATTACTACCACAAGCGAAATTGTAGTTAAAATTAAATTAGAAATAATTCATAAAATTAAATTATATTAAATATTATAAATTTTGGTAATATGTCGCCAAATAATAACACAGGTATATGAAAATTATCTTGATATTATTTTCACATCTGTCATTTATTAATGTTAATTTTTTAACAAACGAACTACACAATCCGTAAACAAGAAAATAAAAAATAATAAATAAAAAATAAAATATTTAATATTTCTCTTTACGGATGGAGAATAGTTTATATTTTTCTAAACAGAAATTTCAAATTTCAAAGTCTTTCGTTGAATAGGAGAATACTTTTTTCAATGACTAAAATTGGGGTAACGAGTGAGTCGAGAGGACGAAAGGGATGTGGAAAAAAAAATCGAAAGTGATGATAGGCGGCGGGGCTTGAGGGGTTGAACGGTCAACATCGGTCAACGTGAAAACAAGGGCATGAAAAAGGCGGTGAATGGTGTAAATAAATTGAGAGTTCGGATGGAAGGACGGGATGAGAGGTTAGGGTGTCTGAGTGTATGGTTTATGAATGAAGGAAAATTAAAAAGAGAGGGTGACAAAAGCACGGCATCAAATAATGACACGAGAAGGGAACTAAAACAAATGATAGGAGTATGGTCGACGTGAAAAAATGGCGTAAACCAAATGATATTTTAATAATATAGACCTATAATTATTGATAATAAATTTTTAAAATTTCATGTAAAATACGATTTTCTTATAATATATAATAAATATAAAAAATATAATACATTAAAGTTAATTGTGCTGAAACGCTGGTGAAATATATTTTATACCATAAAATAGTCGATTATTTATTTAATGAAGGAACAAGCTTTTTAAATACGATGTTTATTTCGCGATTGTTTATTTTTTGGAAAATAAGACAAGAAATGTACTCATATATTATTTATAACATATATATATATATATATGCAATATAATTTAATATGAATATTGAGATGTATGAATAATGTATAAGAAATATTTTTTATTACCGTATAAATCGATACAATGTATTATATTTGCTTTTATTGCTATTATTTTTAATATCTATTATATTTGTCAAATTAGTTGAATTGAATTAAACAATTAGCCAGCTTTATTTATATCATAAACATTCTTATTTTAAAGGTGATTTTTATTGTTTATGATTTAATTGGATTATTATCATTTTTAGGTGATTATAACACTGTTATGCATTTTAAAAAGAATTTTAATATTTTTTGAGTTTTCCTCGTCATTTCTATAATTCTATAATTGAAAATATTCATTAGATGAAATTTCATTTCATGTTTATCCAAATTTATTTTAACACATTAAATAATCTTGTTATTGACATTTTAATTTTTTTCACTACCTTATAGATACTACATGCCATAATCATTGTTCACTTTATGTTGCTCATACGCTTATACGGTATTCGAATTTTTTCTATCGCCTTTAATTGGATGTCTGGGATCTTTGGGAGAAACGGAATATCGTCCATTCAATAAATGTTTCTCCAATTTTTTTGTTAATTAGTAATTTATAGCTTGCCGAAAGCTAGTGATTCATATTCAATGGGGGCTTATATAAAATATGCCCTGTTACATTAATGCTGCCGAGCCGTTGATTCATCAACATGGATCAGGCTAATGTTGGACATTAATAGCTAGTACAACTAGTCAGCTCCGAGTAATGCCGTTGGCTCATCGGTGTATAGACTTTAGCTAACACTGCTTTTATCTTATTCAGTCGCTTCATTTCTTTTGTACATTTACTGAAATAGCGTGATGTTTAATTACTTTAATTAATTACTAAGTATGGCTTTGATTTTGTTAGAAAACGGAAATAACTTTTGTAGGAAAAAAGTGAAAGTCTTAAGCATAATTCAATGCAGAACAGCACACACATCGCACAATACACACACACACACACACACACACACACACACACACACACACACACACACACACAGACACACACACACACACACACACGCATACACACACAATTAATTAATATTCATTCCCTTGTATCAGACCCTTGCGATTTATTTTATATTAAATAATATTAAGATGTTAAACATTCACATATTTCTATTCATGTTCAAATATAAAATGATCTACGATCTCTTGATCGAAATATTTGGCTTTGCTCTTTCGAATAATATTTTTTTTTTAAAAACGATACGAGTATTGCGAACTCCGGTATTATTAAAAAGCATTGGTTATTTAAAATTGAATACATTTAAAATAACTTTAATAGAACCTGCTGATTTAATATATATTATATAAATAAATGTTAATTAAAAAAAAAGAAGAAGAATAATAACCTTTTTATTTTGTAGTAATTTGACGTAATTTATTAAAAATATTTATGTGTTAATTAAAATTATATGTACAACAATATCGAATTAAATAGTTAGATTTATATGTAATTTTATTAATGGACTTTTTAATTCGCATAATTAATTTAATTTTGTTATAATTTTACAATTTTTAATTACCATAAATAAAACATTATTATAATACTATATTACATTCTAATTAAATTATGTTAATATTACGGGCATTTAGAAATATAACTCTTTTTATAAAGCAGATTTAAAAGGATTTAAGAAAATATATATACAGAAACAAAGATATAAGGTGTATAATATATATATATATATATATATATATATATATATTCAGTAGAATAATAATATTTTTCTTAATATTCATTGTAAATAATGAAAATTTCTGCAGTAGACAGTTTCAATTAATTGTATATTTACAAAATGTAGAAATAATTATAAAACGCAAAGTTAAGATATCTTTATTTAAAACGTTCATTTACATAGTTTTTTTATTATTATTTTCTAACGTTAATTAACTTCTCATTATATTCTCCTCATAAATCTGTATATAAAATTAAATAGTTGCTCACAATTAATTTCTTACAATATATGTGTATATAAAGGGTAATGTTAAACAAGTGCTCTAATAAACTTAAATAACGGTAACCGCGTGGTAAATCTTAGTTTCGTGTAACTGTAGCTTTTGATAAATGTTAGATTTTCATTTTACCTGGCAGTTCGATTTCCTTATTTACCGCTAATCACTTTTTTTTTTTGCATCCATTATTATTATTTCACACATGTCCATTATCGCACTTACTAGCAGCAATTGAGATTTGAGTACTTGCTGAGACTGGATGCATTGTCCAATCCTTCCGGTAATCCAGATGTCGAGCTTCCGTTGAGCCTAGAAGAGGATTCTGGGCTTCCTGGATTTGCTCGACTGAAAGTGAGGGCTGGTAACGCTGGTTCCTGGGCAGAATTCATTGGGCCGGATGGTAGACTGAGACGGGATCTTGTTAAAGTTCGAATTGCTGCTCTTCTAGCTGCTGCTTTGAAAAAAGGTAATATTCATTAGAATATTTAGAGTTTAAGGAAGGAAGTTTAAGGAGAACATTAAAGTTTAAGGAATGTACAATTTAGAAACGATTGGGCTAAAAAATCTCATCTGAAGTATTAGATAATACGAGTATTTCTTTAAAGAAATTTAATAGTTTCTTTTTGATCATGAAAAAATTGCTTTTAATATTTTACTTTTATTTTGTTTGTTACATTTGAAATATAATTGATATTTACGTTTGGTAATTCAGATTAGAGGAAAGGGATTTAAAATTCTTTTGAAAATAAAATTCAATCAAAGATAAATCAGTAATATGAATAGAGAAATGTTGAATATTAGAGAAGAGTTTATTAGAAAATTATTTGTATTTATGACGTGCAATACACATATATACATATATTTATGGAGTCTTCTCAACAACGTTAAAAGGGGGAGGAAGGGAATGATGTTATTTATGTATAAGCTTAGTTGAGGTCAGGAATATTGTGTCCTGTCGGTATTCTGTCATAGGTTAAAAAAAAATAAATAAAAATAAGTTATGGTGAGAAAACTGCATCGAGAATGCGATATTTTTGATTTATAGTTGTCAGTATAAGGTATTTGCTAAGCGTGATAAGTTATAAACTAGATTATATTTTTGGATTTTGAATAATTACTCTTCAGTTTTATATATTGTGATTTATAATCATTCTGATGTACAATATTATGAAATTATATACCTAAAATAATTAACTTGTCCGAGCATTGATAAGTGCTTTAAAAAATTTATATATAATTTTATCACATAATTTATAAAATAAATAAATATTTTAGATCAAATACTATTTTATTAATATAAAAGAAAGATCAAATTCATCATATTAATCTATAAATGAAAATATATATTTACTAGCTCTACAGTCACACACAGAGTTTATAGAATTTTATGAAAAAGTCTTGTATTTAAATTCTTACCTGTCATTATTTAATAAATCTGAAAGCAGTATAAATTTATTATCGTTGTAGAAAAACTTTTTAATTCTTACTTTACTTATAAATTTATACGTGTTTTATTACTTAGAAAAAAAAAATTATATATATATATATATATATATATAATTTTATTTGTAATTATATCGTTAATAAAAAAAAACTTTCTTTTATATTTTTTTTGTATTAAGTTACATTATTACTATACATTTTTTCAATTATTAAATGGACTCTTGTATCAGATTTGCATTTAGGCTTTTAAAATTGAATTAATTCAATAGATATTATGTTAGTTATTATAATTTACAATTATATTTTATAAGTATAAGTATTTATAATTTATTTATTAGCAAATCCACTGACCTTAATAATATTCGTATACCTCAAAGTACAAATTTGCATGTTCTTTTATGCCGCGATTGAGATGAACATTGATAAGCAGCAATAAGTAACATATAACATGAAGATGAAAATAAATTATTATGAATAATTAAAACTGTAGATTTTAATTATGTAGTATTTCTAAAAGATCAAAATACAAAAGTATGAAATATATTGAATTAATTAGGATGAAGTGTTAATGTGTACAATTGAATTATTGCAATGTCATTTGAAAAAAATATTAATAAAGTACTGCAATACTGAATCTAAAGAAAGAAAAAAGAATTATAATTATGTCTAAATTAAATTCTTCTATATTAAAATATTCTTAAGAACTGGTAAATTAATATAAATTACCATAATTATATAAAATCTAACCATATTTGTACATAAAAATTATACATTATTTGATTTGAAATATTTTATATACAGCGATTCCTTTATTTGCAAAATACAGGAAGAGTTAATAATTACGATGGAGCAACAATTTTGATTGAGATGATTGAAATTTTTTTATTAGATGCTGCTATTGCTGTTGATGAAAGACTCTGCTCAACTCCCGGACAGATTGTCGATGCCGATGTATTGGATAAGATTCTTAAGCAACCGGATCATTGTCGAGTTTTCTACGGACCAGGTATGCAGTATAAAATCATAAAATATTTTGTTTATTTGAAGCTTTCCGAGCACATTTGTCCGTATGCACAATATTCTTATTGAATATGTAAAGTAAATAAAAATATTATGTCTTATTATGACTACCTAACGATAAAGTAATGAAAATCAAAGCTTACCGATAAAAGCAAAATTGAAAAAAATGATGTACGTCTATGTTATTAGTATTTGTTATAAGTATAAGTAAAGAGTAGATGAGAAGAAAAAACAAGTGTGTCAAGTGCAACGGTTATGGAAGCTTTCATGAGTGTACATCACCTTAGCATTTCACGCTGAGCTTTATATCGTAACTTTTCATTAAGGATAAAACAATTTAATTAAAGCGATGATTTTTAGCGTTTATTATAATATATATATATATATAATATCATCTATAATGGTGAAATACAAATCTTTGAAATTTTATTTCCTAGTTATCTCATGAGATTGCTAGAGACTCATTTATTTCTAAGATTAAGCACAGAGTTTATGTAATTTTTCATAATTCTGCTATTGACATTCATAGAAAAAAAATTATTTATTATTCTATTTGTATATTATAAATGTATGAACATTATTAAGAAGATTATTTATACAAGCTATTACCATACTGGCCCATCATTACAATATGTTTTGTTAATGCAATAATTTAATCCGACTAAAATTGATAATAATGTGTAAGTCGAATGTACATGCAGCTTTTATTATATTATGAATGAATAGTAACAGTGTGCTGTAGTTCTCGATAATTATTTTATAATTATATATAATGTGCTTAATGGCTATATTTACAAGTATATTTTAACACAAAAATAAAGTATTACAATAATAAACTCTGAATAAAAACTGAATTTTGAGATGTGAGGATTAGGAGGCACGCTTTTGCAGCTTACGAATACTAAGTGGTAAGAAAAGGAAATACGGTTTATTACGATATGCTGATAAGGCGATAGAACGGATAGTCTCTTGAGGAAATAAATGCAGAATATGTAGAACTGATAAGGTATTGTATCACAGATAACCATCCTATAGTACATGTACTCGACCGGAATTGAGTCACAGTATATATGTTAGTGCTCTAAAAGGATGGTTCACTTACTTCGTTTATATGCATGCTTGCAGGTACTTACAAATGCATTTATGTGAAATAAAGTGATAATCAAAGTGCCAAGAGGAATAAAATTACCAAAAATATTTCATTTATGCATAATATGGAGGATTTTGTGAAAAAGTCATCAGAGTACGCAATTGGACTTACTCGCTGATATCGATGCTGCTATCTTTAATGAAGATGCATTAATATTTAAAGCGAGAATGTGCATTATTATTGTAAGCAGTGACCTATATTATTATTAATACATATTTTGAAGTTCCTCCATTAATAAAGAATTTGCGAAGTTAGCAGCTGCTTGGTTGACAAGCTTACATAGAAGTTTTGCGAGTTGTAAGCAAGAAAGAAAAACTACTACATCAATATACAAATTCAAGGCATTATTTAAGTTTAAAAATTTACAATTATTTCTGAAATCTATTTATCTAAAGCTGAAAATCGATTTTAGCCGAAGCAAATTATAAAGTACGTTTACATAAGGATTACTTATATTTGACGAATACGATCTTTAATTTTAACGTTTTAAACATTGTAAAAATAATTATTACTTTCGAAAGATTTTTTTTGTATTTTCTTTTTATTGTAATTAAATATTATTTAAACTTTTAGACGCTGTTTTTGTAGTAAAATATGCCATTTTTAAAAAAATTTACATGATGGTCTTCTAATTACAAAATAAATTTAATTAAATGTAACGCATTTAATATAATGTAATATTCAGATAATTATACATTTATCGTATAAATGAGCTAATGTAAAATATTCTTTAAAAAAAAATTTAATATATTTTATATAATGATATAAATCTGTAAGACAAACATTTTTTTTTTTCACAATACCATTAGATAGTTAAAAAATTATGATTTTAATTTAGTTCCAAAACAATTGTTTTAATCACATCAATCATAAATATATCAACGTAAGAATGAAAGTTTATAATGAATGGATAATTTGAGTTCTAAGCTAATATTTGATTTATGTCAATGTTCTCAGTATATTAATAAAGAAAATTAGAACAGTCATTACTAATAATTGATGAATGTTGAAATTACTTAAAATTTTTTTCACTTTATCATCTATTTATTAAAATAAATGTAATTATATTCCTTGTCTAATAAATACATAGAATATCATAGTATATATTTGTTTACAGATTTTATGATTATTTAAGTATTTCAGTTAACATTTAAAATGACATAAATAAGATTAATCTCATACAATTATATTTTTATAATAAACATCAACAGTACAAAATCCTAGTGGTGTTGTTTGTATGCTTATTTATAATTAAAAACTAGTATTTCCTTCAGCTGTTATTAAATATTTTTATTCGAATAGTGCGTGGCGCATAATTGTTTGACGTACATAAAATATCTATTGCAATTCATGCAATTCATTGCCCTATTCCAATATTAACCGTATGTACACAAAATTTCTATTTTCCATATTGATAGATATTGTGGAGTTACAGATTTATTAAGGGAGAAATTGAGTTTTACCCTAATAAAATATAACTACTGCATAAGAATGATATAGCAATATATTTTTAAACAATTATTTGAAAAATTGAGAAATATGTTTATCGCTTAAAAATTTTTTTTTCTCAATTAACAAAATATTCAGAAATATATATGTATATATTTTTTTTAACTTTTGACTTTGTTGCAATGATAAAAGCTTCTCAATCAACATTATAGCGATTAGTTAAATGCTGATGTTATTGATAATAATGAATAGAATTGTGAATCAAAAGTATATCATGGAATGGTTACTATTTGGCTGGTATTTTTATAGAATTAGTCCAAGTATTTGTACCCAAAAGTACCTTAAAGCTTAAAAAAAATATTAAAAACGTTGAAGTAAAATTGAAATTGTTAATCAATATAATTGGTAAATAGAAGTTATTTATAATTTATTTTTGATCATTTTTTTTTTTTTTTTTTTTTTTTTTTTTTTTTTTTTTTTTTTGAATAGCCGATTCCGAGTTGAAGTTATTTGAAATTGCCGATCATCGAGTTGTCATTGTGGAGGATGAAAGTGGGATAATTTTAAAGATTGGCCAACGCGGATCAAAATCGCAAGACATCGAAGTGAAACTTTTAATTGGTGCTTCTATAAATTCGTGGCCCACTTGCGCCGATTATCCAAAAAGGATACCATTACATCACTGCGATGCTTTGCTCCATTATACAGCCGCACAAAGTGTAAGTCCATTAAGCTTCATTACTGCAATGCACTTCACACAATCTACTATAATGTTTTATGTTATTCCCAAACAGCGAATAATCGTGGCATTAAATAATAATTTAACAAAAGTCAGTGCTAAGTCGGTTTTACCTCGGTATCCGAGCCAAATTCACATTTTAATCACTCGTAAAATGCAATGCTATAACGTATAAAGTAAATAGTAGTAGTAAAGGTCGCAGTAAAACAAAAATAATAATAAAAAAGTAACAACAACGATCAATAAACATGAAAGTGCAGTCGCGTGGATGCTGGTTGGAAAATTGTTTAAAACTGTTTACGTAAAGTCCAAATTGATTAGAGGAATTGATTGTTTCAGGGCATGTTTGTCGTGGCGGTGGGCCCTCATCAAGGACTACGCTGCGACGATCGGGCGAGTCTCTGGCGGATTCGCGTCCTCGCAGCCGAGGTCATTATGCGCGAACATTATTCCGAGGATAGTGTGCCCGCGCTCACGGAATTCGCGCTTTTGCAGGTGCTCGATCAGCTTCGAGGACGACGACCCATGGACTTTTCCATCAAACGTAAGGTACACACGATGTTACCGTTGCGCCTTGCCACGTCTCTCGGTACCATTTTTCGTGAGTGCGCTCGTATTGTTTAATAACCGTTAGAAAAGTCTTTTACCATACCATCGACCGCTGGGCGCATAAGCAATGATATTGATTTAATGCTACTTCGTGATAAGCTGGACTTTCTTGGCTTTCACCTGTTTTCAGTTATAAATAAATGCCCGTAACGGTGGATAATTTATTCTTATTCTTGTTCTTCTGCAATTATTCATTAGATCTTCGGCGCAATTCTTAACGAATAGAAGGTTAACGAGAACATTATTATAAAAAATTTTTTTATTTTTTTTTTATTTTTTTTTTAATTTTTTTTTTTTTTTATACACAGTATTATTTTTATAAAACATTTTCCAACATATTCTTTTTATTGTTGACAAATGTGATTTTATTTTCCACCATATCTAAATTTGATGTTATAAAACTCATCAGTCTTTTATAAAATATATTATAATGGAAGAGCCTTTAGCATTCTTATTCTTTTATTTACATTTCTTCGATCGAATGTATTTGATTGTGCATGTAAATAGTATTTACAAACTATTTGCGTACGCGTACGTGTGTACGTCCGTGCGGGCGTGCAAAAATTTTTCTACATTCTAGTGAACTTCTTATTTTTCAATGACGCAAGCGCGATATATATAAATGCCAATTTATTTAAAAGAGGCCGATGAGCTTAGCGATTTTGTCTTTTTATGGCTTCTTACGTAATAGTCTATGGGTCTCTTCGCGTATAGTGCAACTTTTTTTTGGCCATTCGCGTTCATCATCTGCTGACGCTTCACATTATTGGACATAATTTCCGTTAGCGTATACAATTAAAAATCCATTAATCACTTATGAATCTACAATGTATTCATTAAGTTGAGTGTGAATATAATGAAAATTGTAGCTTTAAGGAGATCACGATTGTTTAAACGTATTATTACAATTAGCTTGTATACCTTTTGTCATTCAAGAGAACATTTTTTTAATATATAATTACGAGCTATTATTAAAAATTTCTTTTAGTTGTGGCTAGCCGCTTATCCTTACATTTTATTGTTGTGTATGTATTACAATATTTGACTTGTACTTAAATGTACACAATTTATTTCAATGTTTATCAGAATGGAATATTTCAATTTGCGGGAAGTATCGGAAACTTTAGATATTGGAATGGTCAGCATAAATTTTTATTGCACAGGCGAAGCATTGACAATACATCATATTTTCCAAACAATATTTTATCCTTCGCCTCGGATTATTTATTTCATTTCTATCCAGATACAAACAACTCATTTTTTCTACTGAACGCTTTCGGCTCTTTTTTTCTATTAGATTCACAGTTTTTGAAGGTTCATTTTAACGTAGTCAAGCCCCTTGAATCGAGCGAATATCAAGCGAAAGCTTAATGAGAAAAGTTGAATCGATTCGAGATCGCTGTTCATCCTATTAAACATAAATAAACAAGTTCTTGTTTATATTCGGTTTCATCTACGCCACTGTCTTTGATTATAATGGAGAGTTGTATTATTTTCAATTTTTAATTGAGTGGATGGAACAATATGAATTTATAAATTGAATTTAAATGAATATGAACTATTTGCGTGATTTATATATTTTCCGATATTTTGCATATTGCAATTTATGGGATCACGACAATGAGATTCAACAAGACTACCAGGATCACCCAATCTTCTTCTGCTTTCTCCTCGAATTGCCGGTTTATGAGAGATTCTTATTTTTATGCCTTTAATTTTACGTGGTACGTCTTAAAGTTATTAAGAGAGTTCGAGTCCTCGCTGTACTTGAGTAACGAGATACTTATTTGGATTAAACTTTTCTTCCAACTATTATATGATTCTGCTTAATGTTTTTTTTTTTTTTTTTTTTTTTTTTTTTTTTTTTTTTTTTTTTTTTTTTTTTTTTACTAAAATACTCACTTGATAGTCAATCATATATACTGATCATGTTAATAACTTGATTTTCCTTTAATATTTTATTACTCATTAATAACAGTGTGCGATTATAGTTATGCGAGACAAATAAGAGACAAGGAATGCTCATAAAGATATTCATACGATGTATTATTTAATCTCGTACAATAATATTCTTTTAATTTAATTCACTTCTGTGTATGGGAATGTACTATAAACATAACGCCAAGACAATCTTTATAATAATAACATATAACTATTAAATGGCCTTTTATCTTATAGATGTTTGAAAATATTATCGATGATATTGCTAAATGAATGTCCTTAAATGTTTCACGAACAAATAAATTCCAATATGATATAAATTTAAATGTAATAAATTATTATTAATAAAATATTAATTGAAATGATAAATATTGAAAAACTCAATAATTTACAAGTACGAGGTATAATTTGTCTCCTTTTAAGAACATTAGAGACGACTTTGGAAGACATGCATGCACGTAGTAAAATTCCAACTTCTTCGTATTATTGGATGTTTAGTAGTTTAATCCTTTGATATTTATTACATCTATTTCCTAGACGCATTGAATTCCGACCGTAATGTCGACATGTCGACATAGCAGTTTGCGTAGTTAAATGTTTTTCCCTTCTTATTTCTTTTCATCGGTGATGAGATTATATTCTTTTTTCTTCCCTCTCTTACTAAAGCGAACGTTTATTCATTTATTATGGGATTTTCAATTTAATAAATTGTCGCATAAAGATTCCAATTTAATGCTAATTAGAAATTATTTTCAAGGCCCGTTATAACTTGAGATACTCTATTCACATACACGTATTCACCCATACGCACATATGTATAGGCATATATAATATTAATTAAATTAATTATCGAACAAGTTCATAATTAGTAGAAAAAGTTCATAATTATTTTGTAGAATTAAGGTATTCTATTTGTATTTAAATTATTTACGCGAACAGTAATTAAACTATTATATTACTACATGTTAGTAGATTTCTTTAAAATCTAATTTCAGGAACCGTTAGAATATTATTTATGATTGTAAAAAAAATTGAAGTAAATATCAATATCGAAATTTCTTAATGGCATTAAATTTTTATTTAATATATTTGCTATTTAAGATGATTAATTTGTAATTTAAATTAAAAAAAAAATTTATTTAACTATTAAACGAATGTTATATTAATGTTATACGCGCGCGCGCACACACACACACACACACACACACACACACACACACACACATTAATTGTGTGATAATTATGTATAATAAAAATGAATTTAAGCCTTCTTAGTGTTATTCTCTAATTAATATTGATGTTATTTATCGAAATATAGTAGTAACAACGTCGTGTAATTAACATTCCTATTTTCTCCTATTACCGTGTCGATCTATTGAATTACGTACGATAAATTATATTTGTCCATTACACTATTATACATAATGTCGTAATAAAACTTTGAAATTTAAGAAGTGCGAAATACATGCTTAAAAGTGACGATTTCTTGTATGATAGTGACTTTTTAAAATCGCGCAAACATATTTAGAATCTTATAAAGTTGTGTGAAATATAATTGTTATGTGTGTCGTGTAGCAAACAGCCTGTGATTGCATCGCTGTGATAGAGGTTTTGTTTTAAATGTCGCATTTTGTAAGTTTCCTTTTTCCATTAGGGATTTGTATATTACATGACTAGGTTCTGTATAAGATCAAGGTAGATAGAGAAGGAGAAGAAGTTATTCGTGCAAGTTCTCGATTGCACTGCCGACTAACTCAAGTTTTACTCGAGTTTTCTCGACTTTCGAATTGGGATTAATCGAAAACTCAATCACAAAGGTTATTTGAATAGTACAATTTCTTGTTGTTAGTTTTTAATTTTATGTCTTTTTTTTTTATTTAATTTCAAAAAAAATTTTTTTTATTGGTTTTTCTATGATAATATTGCATCTAACGTACATTTTTATTTAAATTATATTTCGAACGATAGGAGTATGTCTATTAAAAAAGTTTTTATTCCCCTTTCCCTCTCTCCCATTATATAGTAAATTTTCAATAGATAAATAATATCTGTTTAATTTGAAGTTCGAGCGGTAGCTGAAGTACAAAATGAACTTTTACAGGCATTGATTTTATCTATGAAAGGCATTTTTCAATCACTCAGACATTAAATAGTCTTTGCTACATTTTTTCTCGCAATTTCGATTTAATGTAATTAAAATAATTTTGAAATACAAGGAGATCGAAGCTAAACATTATATAATTTATTCTCCATATGTTACTTTAGTAGCCAATTAACATCGATCGCGACGTATTGAAAAGCTTTATCGAGTCGAACGGATAAGTAAGTCAAAGTATTCCAATTGCTTTCACGAAGCTTATATGCACGCCCGCACGCATATATATATATATATATATATATATATATACACGTTCGCGCACATACAGAGACGTGGAAAGACGCAATGAAATATATTTATTAGCTTTTGGCTAAGCAGAGCGTCAAAACAAAAGCACAATACAATATATTCATATATCGGTGCAAACGAAACTAACATACTCGCATCCAGGGAACGCTGAGGCTAGTCTCCCGTCATATTGTAAGAGCCATACTCTGGTGGTCACTGGAGCGCACTGGACCGGATCCCTTAAAGAACTGGACTTCCGACAGCCTCTCCCGCCACGTCCTCATGGGGTTGGACGAGCTGCTGAGAGCCCTCCGATGCCAGAATTTGAGGTGCTACTTTCAGCCGCGTTGCAACCTCATGCTGCAATGTGCCCGAGGTAATGAGCAATCGACTCCCGTTTCCAATTTCAATGATCGCTTTGGTCAGCCCTCTCGATAGTCGAGGGCGAGTCAACCTTTACCCTTCGGGGTATTCTATACCTGTTAGTAGATCTACTGTTTTTTTTAAGTCTCTCAAGCAGCGTCGACTATGTCGATCGCCTATATCTTTGCACTCTTTCTTCCTGGATTTAATAACGTCCATAAATTTCATTTTATCCATGCAATGCGCACCCCCACGCGTACAATGTTATTATTCTGTTTCGACAATGTAATAATTTATTATTTTACACGCTGCATTAAAACACAGTGCCGCAATATTTAAATCTTTAATATTTACAAGGTAATTTTACATTTATAAATTTCATTTAGTAGGTGATAAAATGAAATTATGGCGCATATGTTTTACGCGTAAATACGTACATCCTGAGTATGGTCCATTATATCATATATTTATAGGGTATAATATATTATTAAATTATAATACATTTAATTTTTATATGTTTGAAATTTATATTTTTGTAATTTAATTTTGAATGCATTTAAGTTTTTTTTTTTTTTTTTTTTTTTTTTTTAAGTATTATTTTAAGTGCTTGTAGATTCGAATTTTAATTTGGTCGAACAATGAAATATTTATGTTTTAATAAGATATTTAAATAAGATATTAATTTTTAATTTTTATCTTTACCATTTTCAGTATACAGATTTATTAGTATTATAATGATATTCTTTAGAATAAGTTTTACATATTCAGCAATGTATTTTCATCTTCGCTAATGCTTGTTCAATGTTCCTTCTCAACCAATTAAGCAATTACTTCGATTTTGTTGTAATTTGTTGCTTTAAAATTTAAAAATATAGTTTATGAAATTTGAAAATAAAATAAAGAGCGAGATACGATTTTAATTTCTATGCATATGCATGAAAGACATATTATATTCATGCAAACGCGTCAAATTTATTATTTAATAGCGCTTTATAATCGTCAATTTACTGGGCAGAAAGATTATTATAAATGAATGTTCAGAATTAAGAAAAATCCTTTCAGATTTATTTATTACAGTTTAAATATGTATAGCTTGGGATTCTTATACATAATGTAAGTGACATATTTCAATATTATTATTTTCAACTTTAATACAGCCAATGTTTAATTTATAATTCTAGTATGATGATTTAATATATTTGTATGCATTATGTATAACATTGATATATAATCAATAATGAGACCGAAAAAAGCTCTAGTTATTGTCAATCGCTTCTTATATGCTATCAGCAATATTACTTTAATATTAACAAATGAACAGTTAATTCGTTGATAATTGTAAGGGATTGTTATAAAGTTACATAGTTCAAGTAAAAAAAAAGTTTCACTTAAAATAATCCTACTGACAAATAATTCAAATTTAATTCAACAATTCGAATTTAATAATTCGGTCTTTTTTTAAACATAAGTAATAGCATTAAAACTATTATAAGTTCATAGCATTGCTTTAAAAGTTCCTAATGGAACAATTGAAAATCGCATTTGGAAAGTTGAAAAATGTGTCAACCTTCTCCGTAAGTGATTTGAACTTGTAATGAAAGTAATTGTTGAAATCGATTCGTATAAGTTCTTTTAATCACTAAAATGTAGAAGATTCTTTTCAATATTAAGCGACAAGTGTAATTAATTAAAAATATAAATAATATTATGAAAGTTATTATCAGTTCTTTGCATTTCTTTCATTTCACATTGAAATTAGCACAATTATTGGCCTTTAATATGATCAAGTATGATATTGTTAATAATTAATGTTGAATATACATTTTTTTTTATTAATCAAATTCATATTTGAAGATATGTAAAGAACATATAGTCAAGCTATGTTTAAAAAGCGTTGCTTTTAATTTTAATTTCTCTTTACATTATAAATTAGAATAGCAATAATTATTCATACCATCAGTTACTGTAATAATCAATAAGTTTGAGTTTTTCAAATAATTTTCAATTAGCCCTTAATTTACTTTGTTTAAATACTTTAATAGTTCATTATTCTAAACGAGCACATAAAAGAATTGTGTTAATTTCAACCGTGGCTGTTTTGATTTATTCGTTGAAAAATGATTTAATTAAATTTACGTGTATTCCTGGTTTAATGATGCGGGTACTTTAGTATCTTATTTAAACGAGTGTGTGCGACAACAAGTAATACAAGAAGAGAAATGCGGTGAAAGAGACATGGAGCATGAGAGAGAAGGAGAGTGAGACTGAGGAAGAGAGTGGTAGAGTGTGTGGGAGGGGCGAAGGTGAGGGGATAAATGAGATTAAGATTCTTAGTGAAATCTTGTTGATTTTCCGGGACTTTGAGATCCGTAGAATGGAGAAATAAACAATTCAGGTCGATAGAAAGACAAAGAGGTTGGGTTATGTACAACTATTCGTTCACACAACGTTAAGCGTCGAAACTGTACGAACGACTACTCTTCATTGTCATTTATAATGTTGAGTGCTTAATTCAATCGAAAAATTTGTTGAATTTATTCTTTATTAATAGTAGGACAATACATAGTTTTGTAGTTTCCTATATGCTTAATTACATTAAAAACAAAAAACAAAAATACGGATAAGATTAAAAGATCCTACTAGATTTTCATAAATCTGAATTTAACTTAAATTTTTATATTTTTACGATAAAAAATTCGTATCTTATTTTTGTTCAATTAGAAAATAAAAGTTAATTATATAATTATAAAGTTATAATAATGATATCATTTTATTATGAAGTATTGAGGGCTTATAACACACTAAAATCAAATTTATATTATGTAACGGTAAATACTACTGTATAAAGTATAATATATACTTGTTCATATTCTCCCTCCCTCCCTCTCTCTGTCTCTCTCTCTCTCTCTCTCTCTCTCTCTCTCTCTCTATTTTGGGTTCTCTTTTATTGTAAATGAAGCGTACAATCAGTGATGTGCCATACTTTGATACTTTCGCTTCGATGAATGTAACAATATTTTTCATTTCAAATACTATTACGTTCATGTTAGCAGCCAATCTGATCGAAACAGTTTTTGCTTTTCTTTGTGTTTTTTACTGTTTTTACTATTTGCAATTTTAATTTTAATTGTTTTTGATAATTTTTGTCTCTTATTATTTTTCTATAACAATCTTTACAACGTTAATAAATCAATAATTCACTTTTATTAATATTTTGTTGACTAATAAATCAACACACACACAGAAACACAGAAACACACACACACACACACACATACACACACACACACACAAATAGAGAACATTTTCGCAAATTAAATAAATATAAATTATGCCAAATATAATTACATAATTATAGCTTTCTTTATAATTAATTTTGAATTAGATCGTCAGCAAACAAATTATGAAAAAAATATGAAATGAAATGTTATTTCATCTTTTCGTTCAATCAAATTGAATAATCAAGAAGCTGTCGCACATGTCGAAAACAGAAATATTTCATAATTAAATATATATGAATTAACATTGGCGTTGTCGGTAGGACGATCTTTTGGAAACTAGCGAAAGCGAAATTGTCTTCGTGCCATTAATTAAACGACTTACTCGACTATAACTAAATATCTTTCTTATTCTCTCTCTCTCTCTCTCTCGCTCTCTCTCTCTCTTTCTATTTCTCACCGTCTCTTTTCCGATTTCTCACTTACTCGTTCGTCTCTGTGGAGATGCATATCCGCTCTAACTGACGCGGTACATCTGGACTTCACTGTATTGCGTACATGCCATATACGTAAGTAGTATAGGTGCAGGCGTGTAGAGCGCCCAATTTATTCGAATGATTTATAGTTTCATTACGGGGTGGCCATATTGGGTCGACCACACACGATGGCCGAGGAAGCCTTGGACAAGTTTTCTCCGAGGTCGAGTGTTCATTGTTTCATTCGGAGAAACTTACGATAGCAACAGAGATAATAGGGGTGACGCAGGGAAGCGAGGGTCTGATTTGCGATATTTATCATTTGAATGAAATCAGAAAAATGAATTAGATTTGATCGGCTGCGGTGAGTGAGACAAGATTAATTCATCGCGTTACACAACTTATTGTTATAAGATTACCGTAAGCAGGCAAGAATCTTGACAAGGATGTTGAACATTGTTTATTTCATTAAAATACACAATTTATCAGTAAATGTTATCACTCGATTTTGCGGTTCATGATGTACTTTTAGCTTCGATTTCGTACATTCTTTCGCCTATTCATTATGTCCGAATTATCTATAACGATAATTTTAATCTATTAAATGTTTACTCGAGCTTCATTATCAATTTTTATAATCTACAATTTTATATTGAATAATTAATTTAATTATCGAATGTTATTCTTATCGAAATTATTATCGAATGGCAATTAAGGAAATTTAATTATTATAGCTTTAGCTATAATCTATTGAAATCTGATTTTACCTTTTGATGAGGAAATCCAAAGTAGATTAAACGATTAACAAATCGCCTATGCTTTTGATCATTCTTTCTACTTGTGGGAAAATTAAATTTAATTTACTATCCTTTGGCTACAAATATAAGGAATTGAATTTCTTTAACATCAATAGATAAATCGTCTTCGGTTATTATTTCAATATCCAGCTTACGCATCAAGGTTTGCGATAATGAAATTGCATGTCTCGACAAATTGAATACCCATCCCCGGTACCATTAGATATTAAGTAACAAAGACGATTAGCGGTAGAATCCTCTAGAATAAGATTTTGTGTCCTAGGCGGTAATCTTTATCACGAGGACGCGTATGGAGCGGACGCGCGCCTCCTGGAGTCATACCTCGGGGCCCTACACACGCACTCGCTCGACTGGTCCGAGGATGTCCAGCAAGTTGAGCGTAGTTTATCGAGTGAGGAGCTGTTGGAAAAGGAGCTCGTTTCACGTTGGCGACAGGTTATGGCATCACTACCACGAGGTACAATGAGCGGTTATTGCGGCTATGGCCAGCGACAGCTTCAATACATTGGCCTCGTTATTAAGGAAGTACTTCGTGCCAGGGATTCGCTGATAATTCAGGTGCGCTTGCCCTAATTAGGCCTTTTTCTTTGAATGTTTGTGTATATGATTTTTTTTTCATCTTGCTTTCTAAATACCCGGATGCGTGCTTCCACGAGTAATCATGAAATGATGTATGAAAGCATGAATATTGCATAGCACGAACGTAGTCTGGAATACATTTACAAATTAGTTCGGACAAATCCTCCCTTAAACGAAATGATTTGTTGAATTTGTATTGAAGATATACTGATGATCTAATCATATTATAGATATTATTCACTATTTATTTTCTATTCTATCTCAGCTTATTTAAGGACCGTTCAAATTAATTGTATTTAAGAGATTGCAAAATGTGCGGAGGATATTATTGTTAATTGAAGAAATTTGGAATTGGTGGTATAAATTATTAAAATATTTGTCAGTATAATATAGTTAATTCCTATAAATATTTTATGTTTTCTTCAAAATGAATTAGAGCTTTGAAAATCTTGAGTTATTAAAATCAGCTGTGAATTTCAAATCGACTATCATTTAAGAGTAATTAGAAAGATTGGGTAAAGTGAAATGTACACAAGATTTTAAATAAGGACAATAATTGTCGTACATTTTGTTATAGTTTTATCATGTACGTAAAATTAGTTTTTACGTATCCAATTCGTCATCGCGTAAAAGTTTTTTTTCTATTATTTTAATATTTGTATATATTCTTATGTATGTAGGTGTTCCACAGCAGGTATATAGTGTTATATACCTAGTGTCGCATATAATATATGAATATATACATTATATACGTAGTATACATATGTAGTAGAAATTTTATGTGCAGGTGTGATAAGCATCGTATTTAAAATCAAATAAGTAGACAGGAAAAACATCAAAATTTATAAGATGTGGAAATATAATATTGTAATTCATAAAAATAACTGAAACACCATGAGCGGTAAGAAATTGGTTTTGCATGAGATGACATTATACTTTACATTTAGGGTAAGTACTTCTGCTATATATATATATATATATATATATATATATATATATATATCTTAACTGTATTCAGGAATCTATAAAATATGGGTAATAAAACTTAGAATGTGAGTTATAATATTATGATTATGTAATAAACTTTTGATTTTATTTAACGAGTTCCCAGAGCAAGTAAAGGATAGTTAATTTTAATAATTTCTGTAATGCATTGAAGTAATTTTTCCTTAAAATTGTTTTTAATGAATGTTCAGTTACAAATTTATATTAAATTTTTTAGATATTTACTGCGCACACAATTATAATAATGATCCTAAGAGAGTAAATTTATATTCATCGATATGTTACGGAATTGAAATTTCATTAATGATTTCCTTAATAAATATTCAAAAGATTTGAATATTATGCATACGCAATAATAACTTTATATATTAATATGAGAATATCGAAAAATAATTTGCAAATAGCTGTGAATGTATTATTTATTTAAAATACAAATTCATAGATATCCATTGATATTTAATAAATTGTAAAGTCACATAGCGTATTTAACTAGTCTATTTTTATCATATTTATAAACATAATAATTTAATTTAAAAAAAAATGGAATAATTATTTTCTAAAAGCTTAAAATGAATCATTCATAAAATTTAATATTATATTGTTTGCACGTTATATTTAGTATAATAGAAAATATGATAGCATTTTTAATTTACTTTTGTACAATAATATTTATGATATTACAAATTATTGTATATTGTAGATATTCTCATGTGGCATCGACTACTCTTCGTTACAAAAACAATACTGTAAACTTTATTTTCTTGTATACGGACGTTCGTTCACCCACTCATAAACATAAAACTAATTATTTTACTTCCAGCATACACGTATATATTGGCATAAAATTCATTTGTATCTATTATTTTTCAACAATTTTAATCAGACATACAATTCTTTGTCCATAAAACGAGTGCTGAAAAAAATTGTGTTAAATTACGAAAACCTTCATATAAATATTTGGAAAATTACATATTATTCTTCAAATGGTGTATGTAAATGATATAATTGAAAATTTAAGCAATATATATATATATATATATATTTATAATATTTACTTATCAAAAAGGTATTATTATATGTAAGGATATGAATTAGTATATATTTCTTTTTGGTTTTATAAATTTTGTTGTATTTTTTCTTTATGTAAAACTATTCAAGAAACCAGCGATATTGCTTAATGCAAAGTTTCGACGTTAAAAATGATTATCGACTGTTTCTAGGCAACTTTCGATAACTGCAGCTCCTTCTTTAATCTGTCGATGGATTCGCAAATCAGCGAATCTATGGATAACTTGATCTATCTCCTCAGTCTGGTATTAAAGCAGGCGAAGGAGCAGAATTACGCGCTTCCAGTTAGTAGACGAATAAAGCGAAATCGGCGTAGAGCACGTGCCGAGCGAAAGAGAAGCTGCGCAAAAGCGTATTTCGACAGATCCGTCGACGTGCTGATCGATATCGTTAGGAAGGATCGCGAGACTGCTTACTTGGATTTGGATGATTATACAGTTATGGCCAAGACCCTTCTCAAGTGGCTTTATTTCGGTGAGTGTAATCTCGAAAATTTCAACCCTCTACCCTGCCAAATTAAATATTCGTATATTGAATTTACTCGAGATGATGTTTCGCTAATGCGGAACTATACAGTTTCTCTAACGTGTATCCAGTTGATAAAATTTAAAAATTTTTTGGAGATAGAAGTTGATGGTAGCTAAGGAAATTTTTCACTTAAACCAAATAGGGAGTCGTAGTTAAAATAAAAAAAAAAATAATAATGATACGTGCACAATCGCGCGCTTTTATTACGCACACTAATATATATTCTTTTTCTAACAATAATTTAGTAACATACGACATTACATTAATGGAATATTAAAAATATCTCAATTATATCGTCAAATGCTATTCAATAGTTCAATTACGCATGTGTAAATCAAAGTTTGTAAAATAATGTTCGATCTATTGGCAGAGTAGTCTTCTTTTTGAGTTGGAAAAAAATTGTCATAGAATCATGGAAACAAGGCACTAATGGCTTTGGTATACGTGAATTTAGGAATGGAAGAGGACAAGAAAGTACTGGGACCGCTACTGCGCCCCTACCTCGGCAATCTGTTCAACTCGTCGCACGAGAATGCATGGCATGTCGAGTCGTGGAGGAAGAGGCAGGACATTTACAATACGGAAATGCGCTCGTTGGGCTTGTTCTGCAAACTCGTCACCGCACGGGAGATATTGCCAGCTAATGGGATTGTCGAGTCGCTATCCAAGGGCTGGGCCTGGGCCGAGAGTATCGCGAGGATGATCGAGCGCTCCAACAACGGGCTCAAGCTGATCTTCATCACGCCGGAGCGGACTCTGAGGTTTGCTCCCTAAATCCAAATTGATCGCCGTCTGTCGGCTCCGCGATCCTGAATTAATCCAATAACTGTTTCGACTCGCGCGAGCCCCACATCACAATCACGCGGCCTAGCCGTGTAATTAGAAACTTTAGCCGGCCACTTCGTTTGCCATTCCAAGTCCACGGCTCCAAGTCCCGTCATTACGAGGTCCTTACTAATATGATCGCTGGACGCAGCGAGGAAACAATTGCTCGGGACTTTTATTACGTCCATACTTCGGCCCCTAGGAGCCCTATTACGAATAAAGGTCATAAGGTGTTTTTTGTACGAGGCTGCGAGATATTTATGCGTCCAATTAGATAGCTTTAATTCGAAGGCGAGGACGTTGTCGAATGGATATTGTCGAGCAACTTTGATGATAAAAATAACTTGACAATAATACGTCATTCGTCATTTGGGGAATTTACGATTAAGAATTTTCAGGTGAACGCACGAGTGTCGGTTTGTCCCTCAGCCAGGCCGGTAAATTAATTTAATGGCTCATTAAATGCAACATTCTCATTAAACAGTATACGAAATTACATTAATACATTGAAATTCTTATCGTAAACGTTCTTGTAGGTAGAGCAATTTGATAATACGTTTTTTTCTCTCTTCAAGTTTGATCGGTAAAGGGATCGGAGAGCGAAATGAGCGAAAAAATCAGTGCAATTTTCATTGGTTACGGAGCTTTGTTCCACCTTGTTTTTTGTTATTATGAAATACTTTTAATGTCATGTCGTCATTACGAAATTCCATTTAATACAACGAGCTCTTAATTATAAATCTCTGCCTTTTCATTAATCGTCGCTGTAATTCCGAAAGCGATAAGGGCGAACAATTTCCAAAAAGGCGTAGCACAGAGAAGAGAATCGGTAGCGAGGTCGAGCCGTTAAATGCTCAAAGGCTTCGAGATTTTATTAAATCATAGAATCCGTGCAACGGATACTCTTGTGTACGAGCAATCTCCGCCACTTGGGCCTTCGAATACAAAGGCTTCGAAGCGCAGCCCATTAAGGGCGCATCGCGACCGGTGCTCGCGGCCCAGTCGCTACACTCTAAATGATCAATGCTGTCGTTGCAACGATGAAGGTACCAGCTGAAGTTCGCCGAGGACAGTGGCCCGAGCTCGTACTCGACCTGGAACAAAGCCAGGAACATCGGGAGCGCCGTGAGGCGGGCTGCCACCGCCCGGACGATTATGATTACCGCCACTGACGCCTTGTCGGGATTACTCTGGAAGAGCCGAGCCGAGGTCGCGAACAAAGGTGAGTCGATAGTACGAGCGCGAGGGAGCGCGATGATAATTTTTAATGCGAGAACCGCCGCTTCCATTATTGCGTTCAGCTCGGCCTGTGTTCTCGGGGCTCTTTATATTTTCATTTGTTCGCCCGACCATTTATCTTTCAACGAGCGAACAAATTACTAATAATCACGAATATATTCGATCCTACGCGTTGCCTAGCACTTGCTTTCTAAAATTCATTTTATTCATACCCTTTGAAATTACGTAAAAATCATAGAAGCAACGGCTTCTTATCAAGGGGCACGTTGCTTCGATATTAATGATGCTTCCTGATTTACGAGGCGACGAATCATACTTATTTTATGTTATAATTATATTCGATGATTATGGTATCGTTATCATCGTCATCATAATATTATCACTATTACCCTAATTACCTATTGCTATTGCCATTGTCGTATATCATTTCCGTCATTTTTCATTTTAACATTTCATACTGTTTAAAAAATTAATAAATAATGCTTATCAAACATATTTAATAATTAATAATTAATGATTACATCAATGTTCAATGTGATTTAAAATTTTTATACAGTGTAGTAAATGTACGGAGCATTTAGCTTATTATAAATAATAGTAAAGGAGGCTTAACATATCATTTATTTTTAATATTTGGGGGATAAATAAAAATATCCTTAGATCGTAGGCATTTAATCCCGATGTAATTCTATTCGTTAATTATGTTTCATTTGAAATTAGATGGACTTTTCTACTTCAACTTACGCACTTACACGTAGAACTATGTAAATATGTAAATGCAGAGTACTCGTGTTGGTAGTTGGCGCGCGCATCGCAATATTCGTCTAACGTATGATGACTAAACGGGACAGCCGAATCTAACTTAATTGCTTCTTGATGAGGCACGTGCTTATGCACTTCAACGGGGTTCACCGGCTCCTTAAATCAATGCGATTTCTCTCTTCGCTGCAAAAGAATCTCGATACATCCTCGCTTTTGTCATGTGTGTCTCTCTAGAGACGAGACACGGTTAACGGACATTACGGCCTTTCCTCTTTTTTTTTTTTTTTTTTTTTTTACAGATTCCTTTTTCATTATTTTACAGACAAATACAATTTATAACTAAATTAAGATTTATCAGTGTTACGTGAGATTGTTACATACACTTTAATGCCAGAGATAATTCTGCATTAACGAAAAGGTAGAAAATATACAGGTATTTTCAGCTTACATTTGTTCTTCTACTTTTATGCAAATAAAACATTTATTTATATCCTTGTAGAACGCATATCATACAGCATCAGTACAAGTCATAAACACTTTCATTAAATCTATTCAACAGAAATTATAATACTTTCTTATTTGCGTGTATATGTGTGTGTGTGTGTGTGTTCTTATGCAATTCTAATGCAACATTATTCTTATACAAAAGTTTATTTATCAATTAATTTCTACACTTTGATTATTTATCGATTTATAATAATATATAACACATATAAAAATATATATTTATTTTTACTTATATTAGCAATTTATTCTAATCTGTATGGGAACACGTTAAAGTTAATTTGATAGAAATTATTGGATACATCGAAACATTGGATGAAATAGTTGTATCTTTGTAAATAGTTGTTCATCTCATAAAAGTTCCTTTACGTAAAAATATTTTTTTTAGAAGAGATAGAGTGTTTTATCTCTGAGTCATCCATTGTATAAATTTTATATTCATTACTTTTGTTTCAATCTGATGTGTTGAACAGTCTTAAGTTTTATTTTAGAATTTACGATCGAATTGTAAGGATTTTGAAAAAGAAAAGTTGAATTTTTTCATGACTGTTAGAAGACATTATAGAATCTATTGGCTTTTTTTGGCGTATCATTAAGTTGACTTTTTGGAAAATCAGCAATTTCACTCGGCTTTTCATCGTTCGTACTACGTGCAGTGAGAAGTGCTGTCACGATGATAAATATATATATATATATATATATATAGTTTTCAGAAATTTTTGTACCAAAAACGTAGATGAAAACGTGACTCGAGTAAAATAAATTTATAGATATGACGACGCACGTGTCTACTCAAGGTCTTTTTGTATACATACATACATATATATATATATATATATATATATATATATATATATATATCATAAACTAATTTTAAACTTTTATAAACGTAAAATAAGATTATATATATATATATATATATATATATATACATTTAAAACTATTATATAAGTGACGCCCTTGTAAAATAATAATAGCTTGAAATATTATTTTTTAATTAAAATTTTCTAAATTTAATCAAATTTAATAGATTCAAAAATATACTTAATATAGCTTCAAAGGGATATTTATATTTTTATTGTGAAATTTTCTCAAAATCGCATATTTGTCAAAGCATCTACTGTAGTCGGTCAAATACAGAATTCGAAGCTTTGGAAAATAATAGTAAATGATTCGAAAAATAGAAAAATATGGTACTAGAATCTTGAGATTAGAGTGATAATGATGAAAATACAGAATATGTAGGTGTCCATACCGAAAGTTGGAAGCCCATTCCTACTTTCAAAATGTATGGGATTCAATGGAAAGATAAGTCGAAGCGAGATGGAAGAATCATATAGCTCGGAAGTGTAACACATTTATATTTGATTTTGTTAAAGAAATTAAGATTTATACAGTCAACAGTAGTATTTAATCTTTACTCACAGGAAATCGACTGTCATATTCATAGAATATAGTAGCTCTAGTTAAGTCACACTGACATTTGTATGACAATTATACGATCGTATCTGCATGACAAATTCTCAAAATTTAATCGCTTTCAAAATAATCGATCCTACTTTTTTTTGTATAATATTTCAAATGCATTATTCAAACATGTCGTTTCGAAATATTAAGAGACATTATAAGTAAGCTTATCATTAAGTCGTATGCCACTAATAAGTCTGCGTAATTAATCCTGGCAATGGATAAGAGTGACTTTGACATTCAAAGGTGGATGTGGGAAGGGGTCGCGGCGTAGAAAGTTTGACGGCACGACTCGGCATCCAAGCATAAATGACGGCCCGCGTCCACTTTGATTACAATATTTATGGGAAATATAAATTGAGCACGATACGGGAGGAGCCAAGGGGGCGGCCTACGACATACGTGCAAACTCCTCCCAGCGATAGTCGCTGGTGTATTGGCACAAATAGGGCGCGAACTAATCCATATTTGGCCTGTTAGGAATTGCAGGTCACGTCGAACTAAGGGACAGCAGCCCTTTGACGTTAGTTGCGGCAATAGCGAGGCGATCCGGACAGCAAAGGGGACCCGGTAGCTTGATTCCCGCTCTGGTCACTCTCAACAAGTTTCGGGTGAGTTTCCACGTCAAAAATATTGGCACACAATTTTCCTGTCACCTTCCTCCGTTCGACTATCCCTCTCCCTTCTCTATCATCGACCTACATTCTTTCAATAATGAAAAATAATTAGTTTTTACTTGGGCCGTTATGGGGAGGAACTGTACTCTTACGCATGAGAGATCTATGTCATCGAACTTAATATGAATAATATGACGCTCTTTGACTTTTCCCCGTCGATGACAGGGATTTCTTTCCTTTTTCCCGTTTGTTTTTTCTTCTTCTTCTTTGCATCGATCGTTTTATTTTATTAATATCACGCTGATGTCATTTTAAACATTTCCCTGATACCTTATAATAGGGAATTTTATACCTATCGTATATTATTAGTTGCCAATGGAACTAAATGTTAAGTACTATATTAATGGAATGATTTAAGCATATTAGCGTTAATAAGGATAGCGAGATCCTTTGGAAAGCCTAATACTTTCACATAACAGCAAATATCGTAATTTTTTCAATCATTCCTAATATCCTAAATTCAATTTTTTTGTTTTAAAGCATTTTAATTATTTGCCGACAATCCCATAGACTTTCAACGACAAGTGCTAGCTTATTCAATCGATACGTCTGCTAAGAGTTGAGAAAGTAGCGATAATAAAATGTCTTACGATTAAATAAATTTTAAAATGATTTATCGTAAATGAAAATGGTGGAAAGTTTTTCTTCACGACGTAATAAATAAACAGATATTACAAAACTTTTCATATATAGTTTAAAATTGTTATCTTTGACCGAGACTTACATCATATATAAGAAAAGTATATTTATTTGATAAACGAATCCACTCTCCTCTTTATCATGCGTCTTTGAGAATTTAGAAAATCTTATTGATTTACTGCATCTCGCCGATTCGACAATTTAATTAAATTACCACATAAAATTACAGAGGCTTACTTCTTATCCAACCAATGCATGCTCGGACATTGTCCGCTATCGTGTTTAGCATTATTCAAAAGCAAGGAAGGAAAATATCAATTCGCTTTCAAAATAAACATGATAAATAGGATATACCGACGACATTAAATCGGCATGCTCAAACTATCCGAAAAAATCTAGTGCTCACTCGTGCTCTTTAAACTCAAAATATAATGTCCAATCAATATGGGCAGGACTGGCCGTGTCGGTCGCCCGAGCGTGGAGAAGCTCCCCGTCATCCCTCGTAACTTGGCATAAGAATCGGCTATTCTCACAACTGAGCCACGTTCAATCCACGCGCGCGTACTTGCGTATCTACGCACACTTGCGCGTACCTGCGTATGCACATCAACTTGGGCAGAGAAGTACCGTGTGAGTGGATCTTTTTAGACCCGAGACGCGGCTATTGTGACTGCGCCTTTTCGTCTCTTCGTCGATACGTGATACGTAATTTATATGCCGACCGTGTATATCGGGCTACGAGCGATATACCCCCCTCCCCATCCACCCACCCACACGACGCCCCACCGACGCTCCTTAACTTTCTATCACTAAGACCCATCGTCACTAAGACTTTCGCCGATTATTGTTCCACGTTCGCTTGCATATATTACTTACCCCTTAATCCCCTCCCTACGTTTACTGTTAATTTGTTTTCTTTTTCTAAGCTCTTAGTACGTTTTGAACGACTCGCCGTCACCTCTCTCTGTATCTCACTTTTTCAGGCATCATTATCCAAGGATCAGTGGCAGTATTCTTAACATTCATTACTAATTTGAGAATTTCTATTTGATTTGAATTATCTCGGAGCACCTTTTATATGTCGTTAATTCCTTTCCAAAATCTATAGTAATGTGTTATGTAAAAATTTGTCATTCGCCAAAGTCTGAACTAGTATTTTAAATTTCAAAATCTCAACGAATTCTCAACCTCAAAGTATTCGGAAATTAATATTTTTAACGAGATTATATTTACTAATATATAATGTTGCGATAATAAATCACAATTTAGTTAATTTCTTATCAATCTACTTAGTCGAAATGCTGTTATATAATAAACTACAAATTTGATATATCGATATGATTTGGATTAACAATGAATCAAATTATTGTGCTGTCCTATAATTCATAATGTTCTAATGCAATGAAATAATTAATCTTTATATAATAATCTATAAAATACATTTCAATATACATATTTAATATAAAACTGTCTCCTTCCTTCTTGATGTTATAGGCAAGATTTAAACGAACTTTTAAATTCATTAGTGTGAAAAGTGATTTTGGCCACGTTTGCCAATGGCGCGAGTGCGCACCAAGTCCACGATTTCCTCCCTGGTTGATCCAAGCGACTGCTTGATTATTTGCTTCTCCGTAGTCTAGTTTGATTGAATCGCCAGCTAGACTTCGCTCAACTATTGCGCGAACAGTAAATCTCACCAAATCCGCATTCTCAATGTTATAGTTAAAGTAGTCTCCCTGCTATCTCATTATCATCTCACCTCTCTCTCTCTCTCTCTCTCTCTCTCTCTCTCTCTATATATATATATATATATATATATATATATAGATACACACGCGCACACGCAAGCACGTACGCACGTACGTACACAGCAGTCCTTCCTTTCACATGACAAATAAACTAATATATGTCTCTCTTTACCTTACTCTCATTATCATTCTCGCTGCTCTTTCTTCCTCTATCCCAGTAGCTTTATCCATCTAAAATTGCTAAAATTGAAGAATATTGCCGACCAGCATAATCATCGTATCGATAATTATATCTATTTATGATGAGATATAAAATCATAAGACTTTAAAGATATTTTACGTTATGGATAATGAAAAATTGTTTTTTTACAACAAGCCTTTACATTGTAGTTGTCTGCATAAACAGATAACAACAATGGTTTTTATATTCAGAAGTCATTTTTAATCATACTTTGAAATACGAAAATCCGAATATACGAAATCTAAAAAAACCTTTTTACATCTTTCTTGAAAACGACGAAGCTATTTGTTCTTTGAAAGGAAGCGACGTATATTGGGTCACAATCACGGCGCCCACACGTCGAGACGTAAATCGAGAAACTTATGTTGCGGGATATTACACCGAGATATCTATATTGTATTCAGACATATATATATATATATATATATATATATATATATATAGAGAGAGAGAGAGAGCACACTGACGTTGGGCCGTTAAGTTATACGAGCGCGGGTGAGTTTCGCAAGTGTGTCGAGCTTCTGCACGCGCTTAAGCGTATAGAACTGCTTCGTCTCACTTTCCAGCATCGTCTTCGCTTCTGTTGTGGCAGAAAGCGCTTTGCCAACATTGACAAAGAACAAGAGGAGCAGCTCTTACTATCGATAAACTTCATTTTCGTGACAAGCCCAAATTGTAGGATGAAACTTGACCGAAGGCTATCACTTTCGAATTTGCCTACGGGACACGTGAACAAGCATATCTATTGTTTTTACACCTGAATGACTTTTATATTCAATCTCAGGAACTTTGGCCTTCCGCAAATATCTTCTTAGTCCGAAGAATATTTTCTTGGCGAAGCATCGGTACCTTCATTCGTTAGCTTTTTACTTCAAAGAGTACAAAATTTCAGATTACTCTATTTTTTGACGGGGCTAAAGGACATTGGCCTGTAAATAAAAATAATTATAAATCTTCCAACAAAACGTGATTGATTACGGAACAATAAGTAAAATATCGATATACTTTTTCTATCAAATTAACAACTCGATAATTTTAGATATAAAGGTCGTATAAAAAAAATGTTAATTTTCATTACATATATATATATATATATATATATATATCGCATAAGACATAAAGAATAGTTATATATCATATAAGCAAAAGCAGATGAATGAGGCCAATTTAAAAATTGGCAAAAATATAACTCTAGAAATTACATCGAGCGATCATATTTCTGAAAATGTATGACAAAAAAAAAAGAAAAAAGAAGAAAATCCCATGGTACAAGTAACATTCGATACTTGTTGTTAAATCGTATATTAATTATAAATTAAATCTCTGCAAGGTAGAATAAATAGTACGAGTACAAATTTAAGTATGAATTAACTTTCGGCATATATCCAATCTCATTAAATTTCTTATTCATAGACTATTATACTTAAAGTGTATTGGTAATAACGTTTAAAAATGTATAACGTCATTTTTCGTAACGATAAACTGATATTTAACTCCTTTTCGAGAGCCACTTTTACGCTAAACACGGTATAAGACGGCAAAAAGGGAAGGACGAATTTCCTCGTACATTTTAGCTGCTCGAATGGAAAAGAAAAGGTAAAATTTAAGGCAGATAGTGGATAGAGAAGACTATTAATCTCTTGAACCAATAACTGGATAAGGAATTCGACGTTTGCGATCGTGAAATTAGAGAACGTCTGACGGTAGGTAAGTACTCGGTAATGGTTCTGTGAAAAGATTTATCAAGCGGCTAATTTCTTATGTAAATTTTCCTCCACATTCGAATGAATGCATTAATTATTTTTTAATGTTTAGTGAAAACATGAAACAGATTTTTGAAAATAACGTTAAAAAATTTTAACCAATCACATTGCCTTACATTTTACATAATACTTACCCTCTTCGGATTTTCAATATTGTTTATGCAATGTTGGTCATGAATAGCGTAAAGGCACAAGACCTTTCAAATCAATCAGATCGAAAACTTTAATATATTAAAGACCAAATTACCAAGTTACCAAGCCCTAGAGTATTTTTCAATGTATCCTGACCAGAGCGTGTAGTCTTCCATTTGAATAAAAAAATTCCTCGACTAGAAGTGTTTTTGAAAGTACGCGTATTTGGAACGGCGAACTGCGTGCGCTCACCACTTGAGTATTCTCTTTACTTCTCCGTTGGAACTTGAAGAAGAACGTAGAGAAACTCTTTGAGCTTTAGTTCCGGTGCTTTTAAAATAAATGCGCTGTTTTTTTTATTTACAGTGCAGTGGGTCAGGGTCAGTCGATTCGGGCGGCACCAGCAGACACGCGATCCAGGAGATTTCCTCATTTCGCTATTCCACTCGTCGATCCCACTTTGAAATCGTGCTTACCTTTGCTACTCACTTTTCACTGTAGAGCACAGTGGTTACATTTAGAAATATTGTACCTTAATGTAAAAATATTTAGGATCCGAGTTCATTAATAATTTATTTACTTTAGTACGAAAAAATGCATCTATTGTTAATTTATTGAAACTTTTAAGTCAGAACTCGTAAAATGCCTTGCACTAATTATAAAGTGGACAAGCTAAAAATTATAGAGACGATATTTTATAAAGTTGCTAACATCGATTATCTAAAAAATATTTAATTAAAAAATGACAATTAAAAGTTTTACCATTGATATTAATTATTTCAATTATTCTCTCTCTCTCTCTCTCTTTCTTTCTCCCCCCCCCCTCTCTCTCTCTCTCACACACACTCTCTCTTTCTCTCTATTAGTAGCTTTATTAATCGCATTTTATTAATAATTATTTATAATATAATGAAACGGAGTTTTAAAATAAAATTTATTGTTTTAAAATCGATATTTATATGGATATTTCTTTTTTTTTTTTTTTTTTTTTTTTTTTTATTAATACGTATAAGTTCAGTCGTTATTTCCTTTTGGTAAATGTAATTAGGCTTCCAAAGTACCAAGAATTGTAAAGTACGATAGCTTGATATTTCTTTAATCTTAAATACAAAGCAAAATTTAGGATTTAAAGTGAAAAAGCTCTTTATAATACATCTGCATTATAAAATGCAGCATTATATAATCTGTATTAATAAATTTTTGTCTGTCAATAATCAGCAAAATGTATTTTACAATCTTTCGCACGTCGATATTAAACTGAGTTTAAATTAAAAGCCCATTGAATATGAATAGAATATAAAATTTAGTTAACTTCACATTAACTTATTTAATATAAAATCCATGTCCATTTTTAGAGATTAAGCAATATTTTGCATTTTTAAATAAAAAGAATAGCGTTAATATTGTGATACGCGGAGGAGTCAAAATTTTATGCACGTGTCGTAGGTGGTACAATTTTCAAAATTTCATTGTCCAATTGGCACAGTATAGTGATTGCTAATTACTTCAATCGGCTCTACATTATCGTTAAAAGTTCAAAAAGCAGGTTATTGTGCTCAATAGGATCAGCACGAAGCACTTTAAAAGCACAAGCCTACTTAACAATTGCTCATGATATTTTATCATTATAAAATTTATCAGTTTATCATTAATTTTCATCTATATTTATCTATATACGTCTGATAAAATTACCGTATGATATAACGAATTTCATAGAATCTCAAAACTTCAAAACGTGGATTTTATGTGAAATGTGTAGGATATACGTGAATTTTATGGAAGTTGATTCTGTGATTTGTTTTTCTCTGCAATGTAATGTAATCCTACAATATCATTGTATGAAAGGGATGAACGCTCTTTTGAGTTACTCCTAAATATATATATATATATATATATATATATATATATATATTGTATGTAAATTTTCACATGGACAATGGGTGTCAAGTAAAAGGCCGATCTCTGGAGAATTTTATGAAATGAAGGAGGAAACGAGATCAAGTCAAGATAGCAGCGTCTGGTATTTTATTTACCGAAGGTTATAGGGTGTTTGAGAGGAGGGGGGGAGGGGGAAAGTGATACGTACATGCCACATTGTTCTCCCGAGGCTTCTCATTGCTTCCATTCCAGCTAATTTCCGGCCGCCCGCCGAAATTTACTATTGCATGCGAGCGATCGTGGTCCTACGGGATAAGGTCCTAGTCCTTTGTTTCAAATCTTTCCTCGTTTCTTATTTTATATGCATGATCCGCTGTCACTCAGCTTTGTTTCTTAATTAAGTCGACACTTTGAGCTTTTAATCAATTCTTTGATTCAATTTTATTCGTTTCATTTTGCCGAGGAATCGATGAATGTTTGCATTATTATTGATTAAAATGAGATTATAATTAAAAACAATAGCTAAAAGCTGCGTTTTTTTTATTAACGATGATGGTAAATGTTAACGATCAATGATTATCTTCGACGTATCATTCATTTTCATTTCTCCAATAAAGTACTATAATAAATACTTTTCAATTATTAAGTGAAGTGAAGCTTTCTAAAATAATTTATATTTAAAAGTCGAACTCAATTTATAAATATCTTTCATATATGCGTGCCTATCCGTATGCGTTAAAGTTTGTTTATCCTTACACATGGGGCCTAATCAATTTTACTTAAAGTCACATTTTAAGATAGGAAACACGTATTCCTGGAGTTAGACTTTCAAACGGATTAACAGTGGCAAGCCCAATCGGAGGCAGCAGATTAACAGTCTTCTTTCCTATCTTCTTTCTTCATTAAAAGTATCCTTACACCCGTGAGGGAATCATGTTGACTTAAGCCATCATAACGAACTACTTCTTTCACTTCCAATTAGGCCGATATGCGTCTGGCATGAACCAAGTTACTTCATTATTACTATATTACTGATGCTTATCTCGGCTTCCAAACTTATCATCCCTTATACGTCTTCGAGCATAATATCAATTTTTTTAATTTGTCAACGCTGCACCTCATAATATCTCACGCCCTTATATTCTTAGCCACTTTATCGAAAAAAAAAGTTCGTATAAAATCTAATTTTATTGAATGCTGCGTGAGAGTCTTCTAATTGATAAGCTTTGCTCGGGGATTTCTTTGATGAAGAAAGCAAAAGATGACGAATAGGCATCGATAGATTTGCTCGCCCAGCATTATATAATTATAAAACATTATAAAAGCCTTTGGCAAACCTCTCATTTAGCATTCTAAATTAGCATGAAGCATGAATAATGACGAAAGTCAACAAAATGAATAAATTATAATATATTGCTTTATTCAATCATATTGGCTGCATAAATTGCGCTAAATGTAAGGGAGATCGAGTGTCTGATGAAATGGAACGAACGCCATTGTTCCTGACTCCTCGAGTATTATTATAATTCACAATGTTGGCGCTATATGGCAATTGAATGACTTCCTTGATCTCTCTACTCCTCCTTCTCTCACTCTAAACACCCTCTAACATTATGTGCGCGTCGAGTGCAGGTTCTGCAGGAGGTGGCGCAAGTGCTTCCCCAGGAGGAGCAGACGGTGATGCTCGAGCTCGTGCAGAGGGCGTCGCGAGCTGCCGCTCGCCATCTGAGAAGAGCCAGCTGTCCTGACCCATCGACCTCCGCCGTCCCCCGCCAGATTTATACTCCCAGGTACGTCCTTTATGCGTCATTTTTCATATCCTTGTATTTGGACGTTAGGGAAACCTATGCGGCAACAGTAAATTCATACTGCTCGAACTGTCTTGAATATTGAAACTGACTTTAATTGAGACTCGATCGCTTATGCAGATATGAAATATTGAATTTAAAGTTTTTAAAACTAAATATCCATGTGCTTACAATATTTTCATTGTAGGGGAAAATAATTTAAGCTCTTCAAAATTTATGATATAATTATCAAGGACACTTTCCTTTTTCTTTTTTTTCTTCTTCCTTATATCCATTTTTTCTTTGTAATAAGGAATTATTTAATTCGTAAATTCAAAACTTTACGAGTATTTCTTATTAATCAATAATTGAAATGGAAGAATTACTCTATTTACAGCTAAATTAAAATGACATAATATACGTAATGTCAAGAACAATACCACCATAAACGAATTTAGTTTATACCATGAAATAGATGTATTTAAAAAATTGCAAGGTATCAGTCATAACAGTTACATTGCGAATATCATCCTGACGTAATTTCAATTTAAATGTTCAAAAAATTGTGGGCGGGACAACCGAACCAAAATTTTCCTTTTAATCTTTCGGCCAATTCTCCCTGAATGGAAAGTGCGATTACCATGTCGAATTATTGAGAGTTTCCGGGGAAACTGAAGTAGAAAGGGAGGGGGGTGTGGCCCGGGAGCGATTTTACAAGCTCGATAGAGATCTGACTGCTTCTAGCCTGTAAAAAATGTTTGACTCATATAGTCTCGCAGTCGAACATGTAACCGCGTATCTGCGTTATATTTTGCAAACGTGCATTTCCGCGATTTGGCGTGGGAGCGATGTAAGCCTATTGGTCCAGTGTTGCACTGACACTGGGAGGCGCAGACTCGATCGAATTTGCACTCGATGTGCCATCTTTTTTCAACGGGACTCGAACTAGATTAGACTTTTGCACTGTGATCTTTATCGGGTAGAGCTCGTTTGTTCAATTGTACGCTTTCGCCTGGTGGAGGATTTTATCGTGGGATTTGTTGCCGCAGCTTCTTTCTTTTTTCACGCCAAGGTACGATTTATCTATCGTAGTTACAAATACGAATGCCAATTTCGAGCCTATTGGTAATGATTTAAATATGTCGCAATAATGTAATTCTGAAATGTTAACGGTAAAATTAAACGAATTTAAATCTAAAAAAAAAATGAAATTGCAGCCGTTGTTGTTATTTGCATAAAGCATCAATATTCATTCGAACGCTCTCTGAACTTGTGAAACTTTTCGATTGTATATGAATATGTTGAATATGTTGAAAATTTCATAGTATTTTTTCAGCCACTAGTAATAAATTTTATATAACTTTTGTAGAGCAATGTTTGTACAGTTTATATTTGTAAGATATGAAAACGGAATGAAAAATATATAATGAAGGTAGAAGCGATAATTCGACGTAACTAGTACTTTTGGTGCAAGTCTGGATTATATATATATATATATATATATATATATATATATGCACACACTTTTTATGTACACACACACACGCGCATTTATGTACATACACACGAACGCACACACACACACACGCACACGCACACGCACACACACACACACACACACATCGCTTCTCATTATTCAATACAGAGTTACTAACTTCCTATGGTTACGATAACCCCATTATCATCTTAGCTTTGCATATAACTCATTGACTACTCAGTTTCGTAACACAAACCATATTAGATATATTAGTAGTTAAATATAATTGTGTTTAATATGTAATATCGATTTTTAATAAAGTACGAATTTTATGTAAGGTTTATAAAAGAATATTAAAATTTTTATAGTTTTATATAGAGTAGTATAAAGTATACTTTAATAATTTGAGTATTTGTTAAAATATTTTTAATATTAGAATCAATTATTAAAATAATATATGTCTATAAAATCTTCGATAAAAGCATTAAAAGATAAATTAAAACATTGGCAAAATGTTTCAGTAATAATGATGGATTTCTTTTAGCTCATTTACAAGAAATAACTAAGTATTCTTTTCGATTATTAAATCAATTAAAATTTGTGTACGAATATTACATACGCACACGCGCGCGCGCACACATATATGTAGTACTTGACAAAAGAGACTGTTAGCAGGTGGCTTCTAGTATCTACTTCGTAACTCAATTAGAACCCAATATGTTTCAATTTTAATCAGAATGTAGTGTGGAAAAGCAAAATAAAGGAAATAGATAAACTTTATTTTATCAATACAAACTCTAAATATTTTTAATAGATGATTAGATAAAAAGTAATAATAATTTAGAATACTTCGATGATAACATTTAATCTGTTAATTATTCTAGAATATGATATGATATGCTTAGAAAATGGTTATCCGGTTTCAGATTAGAAATATGATTTCTCTGTTTAATGTAAGATTACACGTTGCTGCTCAAAATAATATAACCTCTATCTAATTGTTAATTATTAAAGTCACGCTTATTATTGATTTATTAATTAAGATGATTCAATAGCACCAGATTTTTTTGAATAATATTTTAAGTGAATTACTTCAGAAAGCATATATATGTATAAAAATTTTTCAATATCGTTATATATATTAAGTATTAAAAATAAATGAAGTGCGTTTGATTAATCGTTAATCGAAGATTTTGTGTCCGTAAATGGATAAAAGCTGAAATTTTAACGTTTGTTTTTATTTTTAATACTATTAATGAAATGTAAAGAATTAGAATATAAAACAATGTGTCTTTAAATTCTTATGCTACATTTAATATTTTGATTAGTCCCAACAGTTCCATAACCGAATTCAAATGTATAATATTGATTTACGAAGTAGGGGGAAAACGATTTAGTCAGACAGTGATGCTCGAGTAACAATCGCCATTATTTTATTGAATCGAGCAATATAGTTTGGTAGTATCTATTTTTCGTAATGTACATATTTGCTTTCATTTTCTTATGTAACGTATGTATAGTGCAGGGGATAATTGGTAGACACGACAACTCGTGTAATCTCGTCAAATCCATCGACTTCTATCCGTTAATCAAAGCCGTTTTCAGAAATCACCTAACCTCCTCCCTGTCTACAATCTAAGGAAATATATCATGAGCTCGTAGAGTCTAATTGAATTGACATAAGCCAATTTGACCGCGTGGACAAGCACACTGTTAGAGTACTTCATGATTCAGCTATATATGTAGGACCACTCCTTCGTAGTTAAAGTACGGTGGGTTAAAGTACAAGGGCAGTTCGGAAATTTCGAGGAACGATGAGTTATCGCAGCTCGGCGTCGATCATTTTCACTTTATATTTCACAACGGAGAAGGAGAGCTGGGATTAGGAATTATTTCGGAATAGTTATTGGCGTCGGGCGTGAAACCAGACTATACAGTTTACGCTCGATTCCGTGGGTGATTTATAGTCTTTAGTGTATTTGCTATTTAAATGATGCCAAATATACACGTTTGATTTATGCATTTGATTAAACGAATGTGCCGAAGTATAAAATAATATAAGAGTTTACAAACTTTTAGCGGCTTACGTAATAACTTTATTTTTTCATAGGTATAATTACGGTGTTTTAACTCATTAAGTTCAATTGCAACAACTATTTAAAATCGTACAATTTATAATAAATAAGAGTCGATTGTATATTAAATTTTATTTTGTATGAAGTTTCACATTTTTTCATTTAATTATAGGACATTTTTGGACCAATTAAATATATAGTAATTTAATTAGCTTTTTCATGGAAATATGTATAAATATTCAGGGTAGCGTGAATTATAATATCTATCCAAATTCCAGCTGGAAGAAACATTAAATTCCACCATAAAGTAATTTTATAAATATCAAATGCACTAAATAATAATACGTAAACGTAAAATAAATTGATAAAATTTTAAATTAGTATTTAATTATAAAATAAATCAGTATTGAATTATAAACCTATATATATATATATATATATATATATATATATATATATATATATATGGATAGATAAATAAATAGATAAATTTATGGTAATTTATAACAAATTTAGTCGATATTTATTTGTGTATGTATCTATCTGCAGACGTACATTTAAAATAATATTGTATTTATAATTAATTACGTAAACATATATTTTTATTTATAAATATTGTGGTTTAGTACGCATTAAAAATGTTTTAGGAATTAAACAAAAAAACCGAAAATAAAAATTTCAACATTAATATAATAATATGCACTAATATAATATATACTCTTATTAAAATTCACGGGAACAATAATAATTATTAATATAAAAATTTATAGATCCGAATCAAAATCATACGAGTCTTCTAAGCAATGCGCTCCAAAAAAACAAAAACAGAAAATTTTATTGGAACGTCAACTTCAACTGCACCGCGAAATTTTAGAAATTCATGATACTTTAACTAGAGGACTAAGAAGTAGAAATCAACTTCCTTCTTGGGACTCCACGTCAATGGTATCATGGGGGTCTTTAGCTGATTCCATTGGGCGTGGAAGATTAAAACGACATCGTACGACAGTCTGGGATAAAGTCCGAGGTAATATTTAATTATTAAATTTATTATAAAACGGTGTAAATATTTATTTCGTTTCTTTATCATGTTTAATTGCATTTTATATTGAACTTCAGTTATCGCTTATATATTAACTAGAGTTTATTAATTGATATACCATAAATATTTATAATGATAAAGTTATATAAAGATAATCATTTTTAATAATAATATATCTTTTAATGTAATACTTAATAAGTAGTGTGAGAGAAATAGAGTTTTAATGTTAGATTCACAGTGAAGATATATAAATAATATAATTCAAATACACGTATACACCACTATATACCTTATTGTACGGTATATTTAAGTGTTTCAAACTAATTTCTTTTATACATTATCAATTTAATAATAAATTTGATGAATCTTTTAAAATGTTTAATTAATTTTAAAAATTTATTTAATTTTTATAAATGGTGCAATGCACTTTTATTTCTTGCCAATGCAGGAACGTCGCCATTATGGGATAGTGTAAGTTGTAATAGTACGTTTAGGCAAGTGAAGTCAGGTGACGTAATGAAGAATGATACATCAATAATAGAACGGCCCAAGTTTCAGAGCACAACGAATATTGAAAGAGCAGAGGATTTTCAAAATCATAAGTTACCATCGTGGGAGCTGCTTGAAAATACTTTGAATAATGAATTTATAGAGAATGAGCATATTAAACCGAACTTTTGTGAAAAAAATAAGAATGTTAATGTTGAGTATCTTTTAATAAAAAATGATACTAAGAAAATTCAGAAAAAACATAAAGGATAATATATTAAAAAAAAAAAAAAAAAAAAAAATATCTTCGTGACTGAGCACGTTTTTTTAAAATTATATTTGTTTTTTATTATCGAGTATAATGTATTATATAAATTAATGCATGTAATTACCGTATGAACTTTATAAAAGTTTAAGAAACTCTTTACTAAAATTACTTATATACGTAATTATTTTAGAAAGATTATTTACAGAATCCGGGAACTTTACTAATAGATTAAATGCTATTGATAAGATTGTAGTATATAGAAGTATATTATATAATTTTTATATTAAATTAAATGAGACTTTTGTATAGCCAGGAGTGCCATTAGTTATAATTTTGCTTATAGGCATTAATAATGATTGTGTAACGTGAAATCAATTAAACAAATAAAAAGAGAAATTTGAATTGAGCTGTATGATTTGAATGTTTTCACATTAATCTCAATTTCTGCTTAAGAAAAAAGTTATTTGTAACGACAATTATATTGAGATATATATTTATTTAATTAATTATTAAAGTATATATATATTTTTCGTTATTTTTTTTTACGACAACATTTTCTAGAGTTAAACATTCATTTCTAGTTATTCGTAAGTCTACATTAAAGTATCGTAGGTTTTAAATTTTATATAAAATTGGATAGAATTTTTTTTTAATTGTATTATATGGCTGTGATATTAATATAAAATTTTATATTCAGAATTGTAAATACTTTATGGAATATGTATATACATATATATATATATATATATATATATATATATATATATATATATATCTTTATTTTTATTATTATTTTTTTTTTTTATATGAAATCGTACAAAAATATATCATATTGAGAATGCATATTCATTCATTTTAAAAAGGAATAGAATATAAAGTAATATTAAAAAAAATTTAATATACTTTTTTTATAGATGCCTTGAAAGCTTCGATTTGTACTCATTTTATAATACAGAAATTCCACATATATAAATATAAATAGGATCTGTCTTTCGTACGGTATTATATTTCGTATTATATTCTTATGAATATAATATACTTATAACAATTATATTCATTCAATTGCGTTGATTACATTATTACATGTAATTACATGTAAGTGAAGATATTTAAATCGTATACAAAAAAAATATCTATTAAATCTGTGATTTGATTATTTTTAAGAATTTAAACAAATCTGCATATTGTAATCAAAATATTTAATGTGGTATGTAATGAAAATTTTAGCTTTTCCTATTAAAATGAATCCATAACGCAAAATGAAATTGATTCATATTTTCAATTATTGAACATATAGTAAGGGTTGATTTATAATAAAAATTGATATCACTGCATTGAATTATTAATACAATATTATGATTAATATTAAGATCATAATTAATGTTTGTCCCAATTTATTCTTTCTATGATAATATATTTAATATTAATATATTAATATTAATCTATCGTAATTGTACGAGAAAGAAAATTCAATTTGATCATATTTATTCAATTTATTATTAATATACGTTTATTACTAATGTAATTATTCAATTGCAATTTAAACGACGGACTGTTACGTGTATTCACGTTTAAATATGTTCACGTATACATCGTGGGTATGTATTGGCAATTCTGTTTATATATAATTAAGTTGTCAATTATCATAACTTAATTAACCAGCAGCTATTTAATGTAATTTATCAATAATTATTGGAAATAAAAAAGGATATTTAGTTTAAATAATGAAAATAATGGAAAGATGAATATTGATTTAAAAAAATATGCGACGTAGTGATGTTATCGGAAATAATGTGGGATTCTTTTAATAATTAACCAACAACATATTTCATAAGGGGTAATCTAATAAATTATTATAGTTATTTTTTTTCTTTTTATTATTTTTTGTTGTAGTCAAAGTGCATTGGTTTCGTTAGTATTAATGTATGAATTATATGTATTGACTTTTATCGAAATCAATGAATTGAATAAGTAATTCAATGAATGCCTTGGTTTTACAATTTCGGTAAAGCAAAATTCACTCATTATACCTGAATATGTAACGTAGCGAACCATATAAATAATTAATTCTACTCGTGGATGTAAGGCAATCGAAGATTTTAGCCGACTTACGTTTAACGATACAATAATAATGCATATAATTCTTCATGTTTCCATAAATGTTCGAATAAAACAAATTTCAAATAATGCTACTACATACATACATACATACATACATGACAATGCCGCTGCTTATCAAATTTTAATATTAGTCTTTAAATAACCAACTACTATAACCACTGATAAATACGTGATATAATCCCCCCAACTTACAAGAAAGTTTGAATAAGGTCCCTTTAGAGACTAAGTAATAGTTCCTACATTTGGGGAACCGTAAGCTACTTAAGAAGTTAAGAAGCATTTCAAAGATGTCTGGAGAGTGTAATCTTAATTGTAGATCTACCAGTGTCATAATTATGTCTTAATTGTCATTTCTGAAAAACACATCATTCTAACATTATTTACATTAGTTAAATAGGCCTTTCACGTCTTTCCGTGCTGCCATATTGATTAAAATGTTGCTTCAATTATTTCTTCACCCGACTAACTTACTATAATTACTTGCTATCTAGCTTATATAATAAATGCTTAAAGAGTTTCTTTAGTTTGTAAAAATAAAAGTGAATTGTTTTATTCTCTGAAAATACTCTCACGTAATTTTAAAATAATTTTTTAGATAATGTTTTATCATCGTTGACGAGTAACTAAATTACCAATCATTATCATCATAATATACTTAATTTTCATATTTTACTTTGAATGACTTTAAATGATTTTTATTAAACCTTATTTGATAATGTGTTTTTATCAATAATTAGTGAAAAAGCATCCCATATTTGACTAGAGTGCTTATACAGAAAATTGTATATCTTAGGGAATAAATAAATAATTAGGGAAAATACTAATTATAGAAGAGGTAACATGTGTTTATTATTTTACTGTATATACTAGTGTTAATAGAATATGATACGTAGAATATTGAAGAGTAACGAAGGAAAGATGAAAAACAAATATGAAAGATAAGCATCGCTCAATAATGGGAAACGAAGGTAGAAGCTGACATGGAGCTTGGAAATTACGACGATAAAAATATTATTTATCGTTATACACGTAGCAAAAAAAAAAAGAAAAAAATAAAAAAATAAAAAATAAATAAAATTATAGGAACATGTAATGTAATCGACCACATTGACATATATTTATTAAAATTTATAATGTATGGTGTGACAGTAATAGAAAATATGGATTTCTTGATAAGAACTACATTTAGTAAGTCCTACAAGTTTTTTTTTTTTTTTTTTTTTTTTTTTTTTTTTTTTTTGAATTTTACAGCAAAATTGTCTATTTTTCTTCAAGATTTTCTTCACAGTCTTCAGACTTTCTACGGAATATAAAAGTAACGACATATAAAATACTTTGGATATATTTGGAATATTAAAAGCTACTAATGTAATAATTGGCAAATGTAAGTCCAGAATTACGAATGTATTGGTTTGAATTTTTCGATTCGATTTATCTACGAGTGCATTCGTTCGACGCGCACATTTATAATTACCAATTTTAATATAGTACTACATCATTCTACACTTTGGTTTAATTAATTATGTAATACTTTATTATTGTATAGGAATAAATGTGCGCTAATGGGCTACAAAAATCAGCGCGTAATTATCATTGACTATATTTTCTTGATAACGCAAATAAATAATCGAATGGTACTTTTTACATTACAGGGCTGAAGGGTGAAAGGCTTGTAAAAATACTTTAATATGGGCATAATGAATTAAAGAAGTTTGGTCTCGCGCTAAAATGGACAAGCGAAGCTTACTCGACGTCGAATATTTTGCGCGAAGTGGCAACGCACGTACGCGGAAAAATTCGCCCTTAGTCGAGCGTGATGAAAAACAAGGGAATCTCGGGGTGAAATGGAGCATCGCGAGCGCTCACCCTAATTACAAATCGCGATCGTAGTTGATTTTTATTTAACTCGAGGAGCCGTGGAGCCGAAACTGGAGAAGGGTCGAGGTTGAAAATGCAATGGGTGGGTGGACGGAGGGTGCGACAGACGCGCGCATATCTCCGGCGCACCTCGGGACGCACAGGTCTGACTCACTCCCACCCCCTTGCCCCGCTACCGCCATCGCGCTGCCCATACGACCGCCTGTCGTGCCCCTCCTACCCTCTCTCTCTCTCTCCCGTCGCGAGTTCCCGCTTTTCCAGAGCTTGCGCGCACCCCCTGCCGACCCGCCATCCTCGTCGTCGAGCGCTGCGGTCGTTCCTCAGTCTCGCAGCATCCCTGCACGGCTCCGCATCGCGCGCGCGCGCGTCGAGCTTTAGGAGGGTACCGTCCCACCTCACTCGAGTCTATCGCCCAAGGACGCAAGGACTTTGCGCCGGCACGTGCTTCCGTAACGCGCTCCGCGGCTCCTTGCGCTCCGGGCGCTCGAACCCCCGTAGCGCGTGTCGCTTTTGCCGCCTACGCCGCCTACGCCGCCGCCGCCGCCGCCGTCGCCACAATCCCCTGCGTTCCGGACCCCCTCTGGTCGACCCACGCATTGCTGGTTGCGCACGTTGGAGTGCAGCTGGACGGGGACTGGACGCCGAAGGTCGCCGAAGTGTCCGAGGGCTATGTGATATTGAAAAGTGCGCGACGCGAGAGTAGAAGAGGAACTTCGGGCGAATAGGGAGAATCACAGTTGGTAAGGCAAACGTGTATAATTTTATTTTGAAATACTAGAAAATTTCCTCAGCTATCTTCTTGTTTATCTAACACCTCCTTTAATATAATTTGCCAATTATTCTTGTTATCGCGGTAAAGTGATTTTTCAATATAAACATTCTAAACATTGTGCGAGGTATGTTTTTTTTGAGATAATTAGATAGGTAGTTTGATCGTGAATCAAATGTTCA